CTTTATAGCAGTAGCCCCGAGCCTAACCTGATGTATAAGCGGGGCCTGCCTATATATAGGAAAGATGTATCATCTACAACTGGCAACTTCTGGAGGGTTTGATCCCAAGCAAGGAGTTTGGCAGGCGGTGTAAAATACCTCTAATGAAAAGCAGAGGCGCAATGAGTACACACAGAGAGAACTTAGTAAGTGTAAGGGAACCAAGACTCGACCCTCTACCTTCACGCATAGGGGGAGTTACCAACTAAACCTTGGTTTGTCTTCATGATGGAACTGGATACGTTCCTCCAGTCCCTGATGAGCCAGGCTGTGGTGCACGTGCTGGTGTATGTGTGGCTGGCACCAACAGCATGATTTCGCTTAGGCGGTCAAGCGGCAGGCCTGGTCCTGAACAGGGCCGAGGGAGCGCTGACCCCCGAAATCTACAAGTAATTTACTTCTCTTCGTTTTCCTACTTCCACACCTGCTTCTTCCCCCACTCTCCGTCCACTTCCTTCCCATCTATTCCCCTTCTTTACCATCCCCTCCCATTCTTCCCCTCCTCCACTTTCCCCACCTCTTTCTTCCCCTCCTCCACTTTCCCCACCTCTTTCTTCCCCTCCTCCACTTTCCCCACCTCTTTCTTCCCCTCCTCCTCCTCTACACTCATGCTCGGATAAGCTGGTAAAATTGATCAAGTCTAAGGAGGACATTACACAGCAAGCCTCCCACCCACTGCAAGCCGCCTATCCACTGCAAGCCGCTCACCCACTGCAAGCCTCCCACCCACTGCAAGCTCCCACCATGCAGCGCTTCAGCAAGCCGCTCACCAGCAAGTCCATCACTGCAAGCGCCCGCCATGAGTCCACACTGCGAAGCCGCTCACCCACTGCCAAGCCGCCCACCCACTGCAAGCCTCCCACCCACTGCAAACCTCCTACCCACTGCAAGCCTCTCAACCACTACAAGCCGCTCGCCCACTGCTGCCCATTCACTGCAGGCCGCCCACCCACTGCAAGCCTCCCACCCACTGCAAGCCGCTCACCCACTCCAAGCCGCCCACCCACTACAAGCCGCCCACCCACTGCAAGCCGCCCACCCACTGCAAGCCGCACACCCACTACAAGCCACCCACCCACTACGAACTGCCCACCCACTACAAGTCACCCACTACAAGTCACCCACTACAAACCGCCCACAGACCACAAGCCACCCAGCCACTTCAAGCCGCTCACTCATTACCCAATGTCTGCCACCTGACCAATACCCACCAACACTCGCCCACCGCCCACACACACATTTCGCCCCTCCCTCCCCTTCTCCCCACACACACCTTCCAACTCTCCCTCTCAACCACCCACCTTTCCTCCACCCTCCGCCCACCGTCCCATTACCTTCAACCATCCCACCACCTTCCACCCGCCCACCATTCTCCGCCCGCGCATCCACCCACCCACGCCCCACCCACGCCCCACCCACGCCCCACACACTCCCCACCCACACCCTACCCACGCCCCACCCACTCCCCACCCTCCTGCCCACCAATTCCAAAGCTTTGCCTAAGGGAGGCGTGTAGAGCTGCCACTACCGGAAGAAAATATGTGGAAATATATCTGCAAACACAGTGAGAGAGAGAGAGAGAGAGAGAGAGAGAGAGAGAGAGAGAGAGAGAGAGAGAGAGAGAGAGAGAGAGAGAGAGAGAGAGAGAAAACGAGAATGGAGGAAAGGAATGAAGGAACGAACGAGGACAAGAATGACGGGAAAGGTGGAGGGTGACTCAAAGTTTCCCGTGTTTACACATGCACAAAGCAAAGTTTCCCGTGTTTACACATGCACAAAGCAAAGTTTCCCGTGTTTACACATGCACAAAGCAAAGTTTCCCGTGTTTACACATGCACAAAGCAAAGTTCCCCGTGTTTACACATGCACAAAGCAAAGTTTCCCGTGTTTACACATGCACAAAGCAAAGTTTCCCGTGTTTACACATGCACAAAGCAAAGTTTCCCGTGTTTACACATGCACAAAGCAAAGTTCCCCGTGTTTACACATGCACAAAGCAAAGTTTCCCGTGTTTACACATGCACAAAGCAAAGTTTCCCGTGTTTACACAGGCACAAAGCAAAGTTCCCCGTGTTTACACATGCACAAAGCAAAGTTTCTCGTGTTTACACATGCGCAAATCAAAGTTTCCAGTGTTTACAGATTCGCAAAGCAAAGTTCCCAGTGTTGGCACATGCGCAAAGTTCCCAGTGTTTACACTTACACAAAACAAGGTTCGCAAAGAAAAATTCAGATGGATGGAGTGAGTCTTGGTAACAAATTTGGGATGAACATCGCAGCCTTAGACTACGACCCTGAGTCGTCAAGGAAACTCTAATTTGCAAGAAAAAAGAATAGTCGTTTCTGGAATATTGTTGGTAGTGGTGGTGCTGGCAGTGGTGTATTAGTTGGTGGTGTTGTTGGTGATGGTGTACGTGGTGCTGAAGGTGGTGCTGGTGGTGCCGTAGGTGGTGCAGGTGGCGTTGCTGGTGGTGGTGGGGCTAGTGGTGGTGGTGACGCTGTACGTGCTGTTGGTGCTGCTATAGGTGCTGTTGCAAATTCTGTCGAGACTCCTGGCGCTTGTGGCACTGTAGGTGGTGCTGGTGGCACTGTAGGTGGTGCTGGTGTTGCTGGTGCTGCATAGTT